TCAAAGCAACTCAATGTCCTCCAAATTGTCTACAAGTATAATAACATCTCAAATCTGGGCCACAGTTATACCCTGAGTACTGACTCATGAAATTACATAATAAAGAGATGTGGGACAAGAAACGACTTCTTATTTTGGACTTGTTCCATATTTTACTTATATTTAATAGATTTTGATAACAACTACTTTGATGTAAAATATTCTCCTATTTTGTTCGTAAACGTATAATTTTTAACAATATTTTTTACTTCAAAATCTATCATCAACTTGCTCTTATCCCTACGGAGGGTCGGCACAGTCACTCCTCCATACATCTCTATCAGCCGTCATATCTGAATCCACCTCCTTTAAAATCTATTTATACTTATGGAAATACCACGAAGGAAATAAAGTTGAGTAAAAATACACAGATAATATTATAATTGTGAAAGTTGAAAGTAAATCTTACTTCTTAATAATATTATAAATGCAAATTTTTGGATGAATGGATAGATGTTTTTAGAAGGAATCTCCAGAATATTACGCGGACGGAGACACAAGCGATAGCTAGTTTTTAAATAAAACAATCTTTTTATAATAATAAAAATGCTTTGTTAGATCTAACAGGCTTAACTTAAATACCAGGAGGCATCTACACTTAGGCAAGTATCACAACAATGTTAATAACTTATAACCAAGTTAAATTAATTGAAACCTTACAACGTGATACAACAATGTTTAATATCACCGTAGAATTCCGCTGCCTCGATGTATTTACATTTCGTGTTGTCCCTGCCTTTTCAAAGTGAATGAAAGAGATGAACAAATTTTATGCAATGTTTCAACAATGGAAACAGTAACACGAACAAGATCGTGTGACCTTACTACCAACCTCGGAAATGCGTTGGGACGTAAGAATTATTATGTATAAAAACTGTAATAAAGTTACGTCGCACGTTGGGATAATTTATTATACATGATTGTGTCCTTGAAAGAACAATAAAGAAAAACATACGTTTTCATTACAGTTTTATCCCACATGGTTATATGTAATTATCTTTTGAAGGAACGTATTGAATCTCAAATTTGACAATATCCTTACAGAATTTATGACACAACAGCTTTTTCTGATACTTTGTAATGTATACGTCTCTCTCTTTCACCGCTTAAGTTATATCTTTCCTCTCTATCGTGTAACGAAAAGTGTAGAATGTCACGCGTCTCTAAAACGTTGAGTTACAATTTATAGCCTTGATTTAATATCGACATGAGAGCCTTAATAATTAGTCTATGCGAATTTTCAAAATGTGAAAAGGACGGTATAAATATTTATTATTTTCAACTTCAATAGAGAACCTATTACCTACCAATTTTATCTGAAGTATGATAGCTACGATAATCTCTGTTAATACCTCTATAAGACACGATGACCCTTACCTTAACCTACGACGTCTTTATGATCGCAATAACTTGGCCTTAATTTCGCTGTCAACGGCAGAAATGAAGTCATTAGGTTCATTCTGGCATTTTATGATATAATTGATTATGGGCTATATGATAAGAAAAAATTGTATAACAATGAGTGTTTCGTAGTTCTGCGTATTTATTTACGACAAGCTGTCACCCGCGAGTCCGACCGCGTGAAATTTAAAAACTTAATTAGTAGCCTATATTTTCTTAAAGACTATGGTCTACATCTGTGCCAAATTTCATCAATATCCGTTGTGCTATTCCGATGATATCTTCCACCTAAATATCCATTCATCCACCTAAACATTTGCATTAGTAAGATTTAAATTGGAGAATTAGGGACCCTTGCAAATTGCTTTTATGTAGAGTAGAGCAGGATTTACATATGTACATTTATCCGACGTTCTTACGGTAAGGGAAACATCGTGATGCAACCTGCACATATCTGAGAAGTAATTCAAAGATATGTGTGAAGTCAACCAACCCGCACTTGACCGCGGTTGACTATGGCCTAGTCACCCATAACTTAGGGTAGGCTCCGAGCCTCTCAGTGGGGACTTATAGTGAACTGATGATAAATGTTATAAAGTGGACATTTTATTTTTCTACTCAAAAACCACCAGACCGATTGCAAATATTATTTTATCATTAGAAAGCTATAACTTATTAAAATTGGCTATATTTATTATTACATTATTTGTATTTACTCACGGACGCAGTCGCAAGCAAAAGCTCTATAAAAATGCTTCAATGGAGGCGCGGAAAAAACTTCGTGAAATCTCATTAAAGTTTATTGTTTGCGTTGAAAATTACCTTCGTTGTTAGCTGTACTTTTACAACGTAAAGGCCGTTGGAAATAAAGAAGGAAATCGCTTTAGCAGAAACCTTACAACTTGCAAGGTAATATAATACATCAATGTCTGCTTTTATTTTCTGAAGAGAGTTTAGCGGTACGACGACACTGTCGAGCTCGGGAATTATTTGAAAAATTTATACTAAAGCGAGTCCCTTTTCACCTTTAATATTTTTACTAATTAAACTTCTTTATATGTTCTCCTAGTACTTAGAGGTATTAAAATTGTGATACGGAAATCTTCAAAGTATCTTTCGTTCCGCTAAGTATGCTTTGGCTGACTACTATTAATTTACATCCTTCTATAATATTTTAATCGATGTTTTAATTAATCTTACTTAATAAATGCGAATGTTTGAATGAATGAATGTTTAAAGGTATTTCCATAACGGTTCAACGGACCTCTATGAAATTTGGCATAGATGTAGAACAGTCTGGAAGAACGTATATGCTAGTAATTATTGTTTTTTTTTTTTAAATTACGCACGGATTGACACGCGGGTGGCTATTTAAAATATATTTCCATTTAATTCCAAATTATAATATTTATTCATCATCATCATCAGCTCGCTATACGTCCCCACCGAGGAGCTCGGAGCCTACCCTAAGTTAAGAGTGATTAGGCCATAGTCAACCACGCTGGCCAAGTGCGGGTTGGTTGACTTCACACATATCTTTGAATTTATTCTCAGATATGTGCAGGTTGCATCACGATGTTTTCCTTCACCGTTAGAACGTCGGATAAATGTACATATGTAAATCGGAAATCGAAAAACACATTGGTACATGGCGGGGTTCGAACCCAGGCCCTGCAGATTGCAAGTCAAGTGCTCGACCCCTGAGCCGCCGACGCTCTTTAATAATATTTATTAAACTCCTTTAATCGTTGTTTTCTATAGAGTACAATTTAAATATTTTACAGTTGATTAGAGTTGTGTCGTCCTGAACAAAGGATTCATGCCCGAAGTGTTACAAAGGCGGGCTCTATATATTGTGACGTCACTGTAGCGGTATTGTTACTCAAGGAGGGCCTTAAGGGCCTCGAGAGATACGCTGTATACTAAAGCTTTGATGAAAACTAACAGACAATACGACTGCATAATAGTTTATTACTATGTCCTCGTAATTTATAATTTTAAGAAATTTATGCTAACATAAGACATACTGATATTTACTAAGGACTGTTTAAGTAATCACTTATAGAATACTTGCGTAAAATCGTTCTTATAACAATAGAGTACTTCCAGGCTTAAATTTACGTTATTACTAGCTTTTGCTCACGACTTCGTCTGCGCGGAATTAATAAAATCTTAGTTTTTTGCAGACTTCTTTAAATAAGTCTTGCGCTTTTCTTCTTTATTAATTTTTTACACTCGCTTATTAGTTAAGATGCCATAGAGATCTTATAAGTATATTTCTTTCTGCCACTAAGAAAAGATTATTCGAAGTCACGCTTACTCTTCACTCGACCCCTTATCTCAATTTAATGTTTAAACTCAACTTATATAACCGAAGGCCGTCACTGACGAAACACTCATATGAAAACATGGTCATCCCTCACAATTGAAAATAAAAAACGGAGATAATATTGTCATTTCGTTCAGGTTATAACAGTAGACATCCACGGTTACAATCGTGTATGCGTGATCGATAAAGATAGTGCATGCTTTTATTGATCACCTAAGAGATTCGCGATGGTGTGTAAGACATAATAAATATTATTTTAGAAAGATAAATTTATCTGACAAAAAAAGTTAGTTTTTATTTACCTAACCGCGATAGTACCGCCTCTCTTACCAGACCAGATATTCGAGTTTGACTATACTTTTACTAACTATTCGTTGAGGAAAGCGTCTCATTTCTTTCCTTAATACCAGGACTCCATGACATAAAAGGTACGCACCACATCAAAGGTCCTTTCATTGCGTCAGTCATTGTTCGTCGCATTTTTGATGTTCGCTGTGGAGTTTAGGTTGATAAATAAATGAAAAATTGCAGTTTAAATACATAAATTAGTTGTGCTTAAGAATACCGTATTGCATTATCTTACTAATATTATAAATGCGAATGGTCGGATGGATAGATAGATGGATGTATGTTTGTTTTAAGTTATCTCCAGAACGGCTGAACTGATCTCGATGAAATTTGGCATACATATAGAATATAGTGTGGAAGAACTCAGCCCCTATTATTTTTTTAACTCCGATCGGACGGAGTCGCGGGCGAAAGCTAGTCACTACATAAAAGATAAATCAAATGTTAATTTTAATAGTCATGATTGTAAAGACATGATAACAAACAAAAACATTTTTCATGCTTCGCATTCAAGATATCTGACAGTGGAGTCTCACTGTTAAATTTACATAAAATGGTAAAATGTTTAAAAAACAGACACTAATATTTTTTAAGTCAAGTCATTCTGCAGTAGAATTTCACCCTAAGTAAACATCACCAGCGCCCTTAATATTTAAACTTATTGTTATCTCTGTTTTTTTAAAGGTAATAAAAGAGATGACGATATGTTTTACACAGATATTTTAGTCTCAGAAACCATCGGTCAATCTTATCGTTTTTAATTAAATTCATTTACCAAAGCAATGCTAACGAGACGACACTTTTCTATGTAAAAATATTTCCTTCCTTTGTTTAGGAAAATTATAAGCACCTTTAAGAAACTTATTTTTTGTTGAAATTACAGTGTCAGAGTGTTGAAGTGATAAATACGATTACTTAAAGGTTTTTGTGATGATAAAGTGAACCCGAATGCTGCGATTATATGGAATTCTATATATATAGCGAATCATGGTAAGTATTTTATATACATGCTTTAATTTAGTTTCGTAAATGTATCGATATTTGTCATCAAGTCTTGCGAATTACATTTAATCCACTGCCTGGATATTGATTGAGCTGATTGCATACATTTGTAAATTATGAGGCAGTGCCATATTATATGTTGCTGATCTGATGATGGAGCTGGAAGATGGTCATAGGAACTCCGAAATTAGACAACCTTATCGAGTTTGAGGTTCTTTGAATCGTGACGAATAAGTCGTCTTATAATTTTTTTTATAATAATTTTTTACATAATACATGAATTAAGAAGATTTCATATATGTTTGAGGTCTAGTTAAAACTTTGCTAAAGTTTAATTTTATTTTATGATATACTATTTAATTAAAAAAAATATATTAAATATCTCGTTCATTGTCTTTAAACGATAGCGAAACGTAATTGAAACCCTCACAATAGCAAAGCAATTAATAGCAAACAAAGAATCATCTTTCTGGTATTTTACATCACCTATTATTCAATGTTATATTAAATATTTGCTAAAATAATATTTATAAATCTAGCCAAATCAATTATTGGCACAAAAGAAATAGAAAAAAATGTAAGTTTACTTTTACATCGTGTTGTTGATACAAACAGAACTTTTTATACCTTTTTTTACTTTTAATTTTAAAATTTTCAAACTTAGAATGTTTTATGTTCTTTCTTCCTTCTAAATTTGAAAAAATGTTAAAATAAAAAAATATAACACATTTTTTCATAATAAGTTTACTGCCTATCTCTAATTAACGATGAGAATAACATGCAACGCTGCAATGGTTTAACTTCGCATTTCCTCAATTATAGAGGTCAGTTTAGCCAACACCTGCTCCACGCCCACGCATGCACGACTTATGATTAATTAACTCCTTAAAAATTGCATGTAATATTTAGGACGTGCTCAAAACCAGCACTTAAAACCTCGTGTTAACATGGATCAACATTTAAAATGAATTATTGTAAAGTTACGTATCGTAAATAACAATACGTTTTTAAAGATAACTTACGGTCAATTAGATTTATAACAATACTAGCACGCCCGCGACTCCGTCCATGTGGCACAAAAAAACATAACTATTAGCCTATGTGTTCTTCCAGACTTTATTCTACATCTATGCAAAATTTCAGCAAGATCCATGCAGCCGTTTTGGAAATACTTTCAAACAAACATCCATCCATCCAAAGATTTATATAGTTAAAATTAGATATTTTAATATTTTATTCAATATTGTAATTAATTGAATTACAAGATATTATTTAAAATAATTATAGATTTACCTTTTAGATTAAATAAAGTTGAGTTCAGCTAATTTAAAATATACATTTTTCTTTTTAAATTTGTAATTTCTTAGAGAAACATTTGCTGAAGGTGAAAGATGAAACCAACATCGCTTGTGGCGCTCTTGAAAATTTTATAAAGCGAGCTTGAGGGTAAATTAAATGCTCAGCACATTTTAATCTTGGTGAAATTAATTTTGTACAGACCAGAGGCCAGAGTTGAGACCGGGCGGGCGGGCGATATAGAATACTTTAGATTCTATGCGTGATGAATATTAAAAAGTGGGGGAAATAAAATATTGTTGGCTTTTTAAACCAACTGCATAATATTAATTAAAAAGTTAACTGTATTGTCATTTATGCAGTGTATTTCATAGGATTCCTGAAACCAAAATCCCTTATTAAAAACATATTGTTATATCTGTTTTTATCAAAGACTAGCTGTCGTCCGCGACTCCGTCCGCGCGGGATTACAATAGGTTCCTAAAGAGTTTTCCCGGCAACAATTTGATTCTTTCTCACCTTTTAAACCTTCCCTAGACCTTCACGAACATTTCAAGACCAAGATAAGGCCGTAAATATCCGTTCAGCCGTTCTCAAGTAGCGGCACTAACGAACAGCAATTATTTTTTTAGATAATGACAGTGATGGCGATATGTTTTATACAGGGATTTTGTGAACAGAAATTACAATTTATCATCCATATAAGAACAATATTCATCCTTCTAATTTCCTAAGACAAAACAACACATTTTTTTCTACACTATATGATAGAATTTAACGGTTTATAACAACTATTGAAAATTAGTGTCATCGATTAAAATAACCTTAAATCACTTTTCTAGCGAATTCATTAATGTAAATTACAGATTTAAATTTCTATGAATAACCCAAGTTTTACTTGAAAAATAAATGGTCTTACGTAAATGAGCTTTTTATTCGTTGTTAATTAATTAAAGTAAATTAAAATGTAAACTCAAATTCGCTGTAACCCGACCATTTTACGGACATTTTAAATAACTCTAGCGTCAATTAAGGTTCGAGTTATTTACATTCGTCTTCCAATAACAGCTTTTTGTTTATTTAATACCAATTTAAGGTGAGTTTTCACTGCCTAAATTCGAGTAAAAATATTGCTATCCCTCTCATTTTCTTTAAAGAAAACAGGAATAAGAATACGTTTAATCCATACCAATAGAATAGAAATATATTCTTACTAGTTGTGGACTTGACTCCGTCCGCGCGGAATAAAAAAAATGTAATAAGTATATGCTCTTCCACACAATGTTGTTACATCTATACCAAATATTACCAATTTCCATTGAGCGGTTCCCGAGATACCTTCAAATAAACAAACATCCATCCATACATTCGTCTAAAAAATCGCAATTATAATATTAGCAAGATACATGTCCATTTTAAACTAGCCTTTTGTATCTGTCGTTTTTGAAAAATAAAATCTACATATTGAGTAGGAATTTTAGTGTGTCTACAAATGGCTACCATGATGATAACTAACTTCACCTTCGTTTATTACATAGTTGTTTTCTTTGTTTCCAGAGTAGCTATTATTCTTTTAGCACCTTTTTTACAAGTGTTTTAAGTAGAAATTCTGAGAAATATTGTTTGTTACCGCGTCAATAGAATAGGAAAAGAATCAACATTTGGAATAATCAGATTGTTTACCATTTTATACGTTTAATTAAGAAGAAATATTTGTAACTATTATCAATGTCATTTTTCGTCTTAGCAATTGTTAACTATATTATAAATGCGAATGTTTAGATGGATGGATGTTTGTTTGAAGGTATCTCCAGAGCGGCTGAACGGATCTCGATGAAATATGGTATACATATAGAACATAATCTTGAAGAATTTAGGCTACTAATTATGTTTATTTTTTTATTCCGCGCGAACAGCGTTGCGGGCGAAAGCTAGTTATTATATAAAAGATAAGAGGATTCATTTCCAGTCAGGACAGATTATATAAATATGAGTAGAAACGTTGAATGGATTTTTTTTACTTTTTAATTCGCGGAGCGTTGTTTAAGCAGTTCATTTCAATGGAACGAGACAACGCTATGAATTTTTTAATACACAATTCGTTTTAGTGCTTCGAATTATTATTTTATTCTTTCTGTTATCCTCGGTTCCATTACTTTAAGGTTGTACAAATATATTTATTCGAATTAAATATTAAAATGTATACTAACAGTGGTATAACCCGCTTTAACATCTTCGCACGTATTGTCCCGGCTCGCCCGGTGAAATACCGCGACCACACAGAAGACAGGCGTCAAGTGTAAGCTATTCCGCGTTTCGTCTGATGAGTGTGCATCCCGGAGGCCTAATTTAGTCCTCTTTCCATTCCCACCCTATTTCTTATAAGGAAAGGATGGGAAGTGAAAGCGGACTTTCCGGATGAGAGGATGCATGGAAAGGGAAAATATTTCCTCTCTGTGCATCCTCTCCTCCGTCGATCAAAGGTAGGCAACGCATATGCAATTGCGTATTTCTATGGGCAACGGTCACTGCGCTATTTCAGCGACTTCAGGTGGCCGCTCGCTCGTTTGCCACCTTATGATATAAAAAAATACTTTAGACGTAAAATTTATTTGATGTATGTCTAATAATATCAAATACACGTAGATACTTATGTTTGTATTAAATATTTAATGTATTTAAATACTAGCTATAGGCCGCGACTCCGGACGCGCGGAATGAATACTGTTCTACATGTGTGCCAAATTTTATCACATTCCGTTGAGCCGTTCCGGAGATACCTTAAAACAAACATCCATGTAAACTTTCGCATTAGTTTTATTAGTAAAATTAGTAAGAATTACGATATATTTACTAATATAAGTACGACATTGACACTCATGAATGATTAACTATCATTAATGCTTAAGTTAGTAGAGTTTTAAAATGAAAAAAATGCATTTAGAAACTGTTTAAGCGTTTAAATAAATTATGTGGGAGATGCTAATCTGGCAATATCTAAAAATACTTCGACTTGAATTAGGAAGTTCATTGGTTGCAGTATTTTTTGTAACCACAACTATCCTTGAGTATCGAACTATAGTTGAATAGAACAGAAATAACGCTCAGCAAGGTCGTTCTAATTCATTCAATTGAATGATTATCCCGGAGTGATTGACACATCGCTGCTCTTTTAAGGTACGTGTCCATTGGCTCGCGCAGTACGCACCGGGTTTAGTTTGCTTTGATTTTACATAGCGTTGCTTACCATCAGCGCTGTCCGCATCGCATTAAGAGAAAGCAAATCCGTTTAATCAGTCCGTCCAGTGCATGCGGCGCGGGTCGATGAATGCGTACCTTTATGCACGTGTACATATTGATATAATAGTTAATAGAATTGTGAGAGTGATAAGATTATAAACATAGGTTAATAGAAGCATTGTAATTATTAAATAAAATCAGCTTTTGCCCGCGACTTCGTCTGTGCAGAATTAAATATAAAATTTAATAAGTGGTCCTCTAGTCTATTTTTTATATGGCAAATATAATCGAGAACACATAGACTACTAATTGAGTTTTTTTTTATTTCGTGGGCAAAGGCTAGTTTCGACATATGTCATTATTGACATTACGAAGACGCAATATTTATGTATTTTTGGAGAATGCTTTGGAAATTTCCTGTTGTTATTTTGATTTGAGTTGATAAAATATTA